AGCTTGGGGCTTCTGTCCTATATCCATTTCCCCAGTAGCTGTCCCCACTGAACACAGTAGGCAGGTTCACCTGTCACACTAAGCCACTATGAATAAGCCACTGTGCTTTGGGTGTGCAAAACACCCTAAAGTACATCCAACAGATGATCAGACCTGCCCTCTGTCCCACTCAATCTTCTGGCTGCTCCAGCTTGTACCCCTGGGACCTGGCAGCAGAACCCAACTTATCTTCTCGTCTCAACTCACACTGCTCTAGCCAATGGCCCTTTTCGGTGCCTGGCATCTTTTTCAACATTTTGTGCCTCCAAATTGTTCCACTAGGATCAGTTTTCTAAAAATGGTCAGTCTTTCACAAATGCAAAAGTGTGCACTTTTGCTGTTATGAGCAGTCTTGCTGATCAATATCCTTGTCAGTTTCAGCTGCCAAAGGAGGCGAAAAGGGAGGAGGGTAAGTGACACACTCAGCAACTGACAAGAGAAATTTGCTTCTTGTCTCATTCATACACAGTTGCAAAGGACTGGGCGAGAAATAATGGTAAGAGAACAGTAGCCCAAGTCACAAGTGCTGAAAATGAGGAGCAGGGAAGCCAAAGCAAAAAGAAGGGCACAATATCTCCCTAAGTGTTGAACTGATACTTCTTGTAATCTTTACAATACCTCCCTGTCTCCATATTCCAGAAGGAGGAAACCCTCTCCACATTTCAAAACTCCTTTTCAGAGTAGTTACTGCTGTGATTACTGCAGTTCTCCAACAGGTCTAAAAATACCCTGAGGATGCAGGTGCATGGGAGGGAGCGATGGGGCCCCCATGGGATGGGTAAAATACTGCTATTGCAGGTGCTTCATTTGCTTCTCTTCTGCCACCCTCTAAGGACTTAAAAAACTTCTGGGAATATTTGCACAGATTCTAATGGATTATATAGTAAATTGTGTCTGGGAAATAAATGAAGGGGAAATTTTCACACCTGAAGTAATGGGTCAGTTAAATGCAGATGCACACATTTTACTGCCACATACTTTGCAGCCATTACATTTGCATACATTTCAGCATAGGTGTTGTTGCTTTTGAGCTGGCAAGGGGCCCCTGCAACTGCAGCAATAGATGCTCCAAAACTGAGCTGTAAAAAATGAGAGGAGTTCATATTGCCCCTTCCTAGAGTAGTTTGGGTGAGCTTGGTGGCCTGGGCGAGCTGGCAAAGGGGAGTTTGTGGCTCTTGCTGAGCACCTTGTACAATGGGGTCAGTCGCCCAAGTTCAGACAATATGACAATCCATTATTGGTACAACTCCAAGAACAAGTTGAGGGTTCTCAGCATGGCTAATGCCCCACAAAAATGCCATCCTGATGGAAACCATCTAGGTTCACGTAACCCTATCTGTGGCCTGCCTGTGAGTTGCAAACCATGATAGTCTGCTGTGCAAACTCAGGAAGTGACTTGGTTTACAAGCCATCATAGGTTAATTAACCCTCAAGACCATGCAGTCTGCCCCCAGCTACCATTTTGAATATGCAAGCAGCAGCTGATGGTTGCCAAGGTTTGTTGTAGCATGTGAATCCAGGCAGCAGAGGTTGTGTAAGGGTTAAGGAACCTTCACATAACTCATAGTCTAACCCTCACTCACTCTCTGCTGTCCAGGTTTGCATGGTATGACAATCCACAGCAACCACCAGCTTGGACTTACTTATTCAAAATGGTGGCTGGCAGACAGTGCAGCATCATATGGGTTCATTAATCAACAATGGCTTGTTGTAAAGTGCAAATGGCCCAGTGGAACTTTCTGAATGGACTGGTATACAACTGTTCATTGAAGACTCCCAGCTCTTCTCAGGCTTTCCATACCTATGGATCATAATTGTACAAAGAGGTTTCTTAGAATAGGCCCATCTAGATGATGCATATGTTGGTCATGTGCTCCAGGTGGAAGCATGACTGGCATCAGTTTGAAAGGGAATTCAGTCCTCCTTTTTTCAGAAAGAGACCAGGCCAGGGAAGGGGTAACGTTGGTGTTACAAGCTTGCACTGGGCTCAGGGAAATGATGCTTGGGCACTGCAGCTTGAACAAAGGATGGTATGAAGTATCCATCCATCCATCCATCCATCCATCCATCCATCCATCCACAAACATCTGAGAACAGCTAGCTACTAATTGGGGAAGATGGGAAGAGTGGAATCTCAAGAACTGATATTGTACATTATTTATATGTCACTGCTCTTGGAAGAATGTTGCCTTCTCTGAGCCAGCCTGGCCCAATCTAAATATTGTCATACAAAGTTCTAAGGTGCAAGGAATGTGGACTATCTTAAGAGGAGCTATCTGGAAGATTAACTAGAGGAGGGGTAATGGCAGACAGTTATTACAATTTTGTGGAGATGATCCATTGAGGAAAAAAATATACCTTTGTTAACAGAAGCTGTAAGTTAAGGTGCACAGAGGATCCTGAATAGACTGACCATGCAATCAGATGTGTCTAAACAAAACTCTGGATCATAAAGTCAAGTCTTAGTTCTAACTCTTTTAGCCAGAAGCATCCTGAACATGGATTCAGAAAAGCATGCTTCCATTTTATCATCCAGGTCATGGCAGAAAGGAGGGAAGAGGTTTGGCAGTTTCTTAGTGATAATGCCAAAATGTTTACAGATTTATCTTTTTAAAATGTAAGGAAAGGACAAGGATACTTCTATCTTTTCAAGATGTTCTATGCTCAAGTCCCCCACACAACTCAGCTCTTACTATCTCCAAGAAACAAGCAAAAGTCTCAATCTCTAACACTTAAAAGCTTTCCAAAGCAGGATGGCTACCAGCTTTTCTAGGATAATAATTTGTACCTTCCTGCAACCACACATAATACAGCCTTTATTCAGTAAATAGCAAAGCCGTTTCACACCATGCCAAAGGTCAGCTTTTGCTGTATTAATAGCTGTTCTGGGAGGGTCAGTGTTGTGCTATCCTACATTTTTTCCAGGGCCTGGAGATGCAATTTCCTACAATCTGCAGGCAATTTCCCACCAATTTTCTCAGGGAGCTAATAGGCTGTGACAGGAGATGGAGCTAGGAAGCAGCAGGCGGCTTCAGAAAAGACAAATTGCATCTCTGCCACCTCACTGGGCAATCTAGATCGACGGAGTTTATAGCTTTGTAGTGTTATTGGGCCCCATGCTAACACCAAATCACTCAAGCTGCTATCTGAATTTCATATTCCTCTTCCATCTGAATTTCCTATCACTACCTATCACCCACAGTTACAAAATAGATTGTATACGATTAGTGGTTTAACTGCCTTTCAAATAGCTTCCTAGACATTGTTCAGGTTCAAAATAGGGAAATGCACAGACTTGCATCGCAATAGCCCTGTTGTGTTTGACTTTGGTATCTGTTTTCAGAGGAGGCAGCAAGTCATCCCAGGGAGTTGTAGCCACAGGGGGGGAAATAATTTTACTGAAGTTTAATGGCAAATGGCAAACTTTTGAAGACTTGGTGCACAAATGCACACACTGAAAATGTGCATTTTTCTAGTGGAACAGAAAATATAAAAAGCACCATAAATTTAATCTTAAGAAGCTTAATTACTTCACTAATGATAAATGCAAAAGTGTCAAAACAGATTTTCATCTTACTTCTTCAGTTTTAAACCACATGCCTCTTAATATCCAGTTTCATATTTGATATTTTAATAAAGCACTTTTCATGGAAAGCATGGAAAAGTTAGTGACTTGTAGCCAGACACCAATAAGAGGCAATAAATATATAATTATCTTTGTAAATGTAACTTTAAAAAATGAAAAAGTGGGGGAGGCCAGCAGCTACACTTGTCAGGAGGTTTATAGGAAGCCTGGCTTGGAAGCTAAAATGAAGTAAAATGATCTTGGATGAAGGGAATATACATTTGGACTAATTTTCAGTTAGATTCACCTGCAGTATAAAGATCTTCAAACAAGCAAGATCTGAAAAACACTTAATGTATTAACATAATTTTAGTGTTGTGGTTTAACTAGTCCATAGGCAAGTCTATCCTAGAGTGTGCCCCAACTATCAAGATATAGTCACCCAAGCCTGCCAGCCGCATCCCACCGTACATAAATCAGATGTCTATATGGCTACAGTGAGAGGGAACCATATGCATCTGTATACATACATACATACATAAGGCTCCTAAATGTGAGGAATGTGGGCCAGTCAGGCTTCTCCTTGCAGGAGAGTTTCTACATGCATACACTCAGAGGGCCGGTGGAGGCCGTATTTGGCACATGTGTTGATGCTCTGAGTTGATGTGATGCGAGTACTCCATGACCTGGCTCCTCACACGGTGGATCTGAGTGTTGCTTGCCTGCCGGGGTAAGAAGAATTCAACTGCATACAGAATCTGGACTGTATATCCCATTATGCACATGGATCCCTCATGTATCAGGTTTTCCTTTTCAACGGAAGAAGCCATTTTGTTGCATGACCCTTTGAACAGCACTGCCTGTTCCATTAAGGTGAAGAGGAGGCGTTTCAGTCTGGGGGAAAGAGTAGGTGGAGTATCAGAATATGGAAACTAGGAGGTCCCAGTGTGTGGTCTGAAGGCACACAAGGCAGCCAGCATGCTGAAGCTAAGCAAATCAGACCTGGTCAATGCTTGGCAGGGAGACCATGGCATGGAGCCATCTTGAGCTCCACCATGGAAAACATGGTGCCATATATATGTTAAGTTGAATGATACTTTTGATAATGCATGGAGCTATGTGTGCATGTGGAGGATAGGCTAACTCCTTGACCACTGTGATGGCCCTGATCCTGTGCCTGAAATTTGCACTACTAAAGAAAGATGTGTTGAAATTAATGGACTTTTAGCAATGCAGACACTGGGCCCCCAGTCCAGGGGAAGGAGAAAGGATATAGCCATGTGCTAATACATTTAGTTTGACCCTAGTTAACATATATTCTGATTACACACCCAGACACTGCACCAGCAGCGGCTAACTCCTCTTGGATGGAAGCGAATGACATTAGAAATATGCATTTGAAATGAACAAGTAAAATCTTAATGTGCAATTTCTTCAATAATACATGCAGTACATTTGCAAATACCAATCTGACATTAAGGTTACTGTCATATTAAGCGGAAATACATGGCTGATTCATTAGGAGCAAGTAATTGAATGACAGCATTAATATAGAATTTATAAATATTAAAACAGTGAATTAATTTTAAACCTAGTTTTGCAGTGAATACTTGGGCCAATAGATGATTTGGGTAATTCAGAAAAATTAAGGGGAAGCTTGGAAGTGATCCAAAATATCTTGATGCAGTTAACCACAAAATAAGAGTTATTAGCTTATCATAATTGCAGCCAATTTTTAAAGTAACGGAGTGCTCCACTGTGGATTGCTGCAAGGAAGTGGAACAAAGCGTGTGAAATGAACAGATGGATTTGATTTTAAACAAATTAAGCCCACTCCCTGGGATGTAACAAGTGATTTTGTAGTTTTCCATGTTATGGGTTAACTTCCCACTGTGACCTTCTCAGGCTGATCGCTAATTTTTTTTCTTGTCATTAAGCACAATCCTTGAAGGAGTATGGGGACTTATTACTTTCAGTTGCAAAGCTCCCATCTTCAACCGAGATGTCTATAAGGACTGCTTCTTTCAAGATAAAGTTTACATGCCAGAAAATGAGCATGCTTGTGCTCATCCTCATATGTTAAGTCACATAATTTCCTGTAAGGGAGTATTTTTGGTTTAGGCAATCCATCCAGCATGAAATGGCCCCAAGAGCACACTGAAAACTCAAACACACAACTAATTCAGTCATTGCAAAATGATTTGTCATCTTGACAAAAATGTAGCGATAAAGAGGATCAGATCCCTATCTAGCAAGTGCAATGCACATGTATGAGCAAGCTTTTGCGTATGTATTCCCCAACTGTGGAATGCTGGAACTGTGCATGGCATACCTGCAACTCCCAATGTTGAAGCACACAACCATAGGCCAAAGCTGCATGCAAGGTACCCGTTGCTAAATAACAGTATTCCCCCAACAGTATCCAATGGTCTACCCTGGGGTAAGCAGTTTGCCACCCTCCTGGAATTGGGCTGCATCTCCCATCAACTCCAGACAGCAGGACCAATGGCCATTGATTATAGGAGTTGTAGTCCAAAGCATTGGAGAGCACATATTGCCCAGTCCTGCTCTCCACTGATCACAAGAGGGGAGGATGTACTTTACGTGCAGGTGGCTGATGCTGCCCCAATGATGGCATGAACATAGGTACCATTGTTAAAAGTGTGAATACACCATCAGCTGGTTGTATTGTACATCTAAGTGTGCCATGGGTGTTAATTTACTTATTTCCTTTATCTCTAACACAGCATAATATATAGTGCCCTGCAGAAATAGCCACACACATGCCCTTTGACCTTTCCCCATTTTGTTGTTACAAGCAGGAAATGAAATGGATTTAATTGGCACTGTTACCATTGATGTACACAGACTACTCAACAGTGTGAAGGCGCACAATATTTTGCTGTTCCATGCCATCAAGTTGTCTCTGACTTATGGTGACCCTATAGAATAGTCTTCCAAAATGCCCTGTCCTTGAAGCTCTTGTACATTCAAGTCTGGGTCTTCCTTTATGGAGTCAATCCATCCCACGTTTGCTTTTCCTTTTCTTCATCTACCTTCAACTTCTCCAGCATTTCAGCGTTCTCCAGGAAGTTTTGCCTTTTCAGGATGTGTTCAAAGTATGACCACACAAAAGTTAAGTCAACAAAACAAACTGGCACTTGTCGGTTGCCGAAGTATTCAACAGCCCCCTCATCTATATCTGCCAGAAACACCTTTGGGAGCAGTTACAGCTGCAAGTCTTCTTGAGTAAATCAGCGTTGAGCATCTGGATCCGACAATGTTCGGCCATTCTTCCTGCAAGAACTGCTCCAGTTCTGTCAGGTTAAATGGGGACTGTTGGTGAACAGCAACTTTCAAAACTTGCTGCAGATTCACAATTAGATTGAGCTTTGGCCTTTGACTGGGCCATTCTATGATACTCAGGTCCTTATTTTTAAAACACTGAAGTATTAACTTTGGCTATGTGTTTAGGTCATTGTCCTGCCAGAAGGTAAACATCTGGCTCTCTGCTAGGTCTTGCAGACTGAAACAGGTTTTTCTTTAGAATCGCCCTGTATTTGGCTCCATCCCTCTGGCCTTCAATCCTGACCAATTCCTCAGATCTTGCTGAAGTCCTGACACCATTATGCTGCCACCAACGTGCTTTACTTTGGGGATGGGGTTCTCAGAGTAATGCGTACTGTTCACTTTGTGCCGCACACATTTTGAAGCAGGCCAAAAAGTTCTCTTTCATTCTTATTGGACTGGATTTTTGTAGCATGTTGGCAGTGTCTCCCACATGCCATTTTGCAAAATGCAAATGGGCTTTGTTACGGGTTCCTGTGATGGCTTTCTTTGCAGCATTCTTCCATAAAGCCCAGCTTTTTGTGGAGCACCTGGGTGCCAGTTGTCCCTAAGATGCTTCTTCCATTTCATCTGTGGGTCCCTTCAGCTCTTTCAGTGTTGCTATTGACTCTGATTGCTTTTAATGCCCTCTTTATCAGGCCAAAGACTTTTTTCTGGACAGACTTTGCTAGACAGTTGCACTGTGTTCTTTCCATTGTGTAATAATAGATTTGGAAGTGCTGCAGGAGATGTTCATAGTTAAATAACCCAATCCTGACTGGTTCTTCTGTACAACTGATCCAGAGTTGTTTTGATAAGTCTTTGGTCTTCATGGTGCTGCTTGTTTAAGATATACTCTCTAACATGTTCCAGGGCTTCCAGAAACAGGTGTATTTATGCTGCGATCAAGTGGCACTAAAATTACACAAAAGCAGATTCTATTTAACTACTTACAGGACTCTGGAGGCAGTGTGTTGCACCAGAGCTTACTTAGGCATGTCACAACAAAGAAATAAATTGAAAAACAAGTTCCAGTTTGTGTTAGTTGACTTAACTTTTATGCCACAAAAACATTATTTTGTTGCTTCATGATACTGAATATCTTGAACATATCAAATGCTAACAATGGCAATTAAATTAATTTCAATTGCAAGTTGTAGCACCACAAAATATGGAAAAGTCAAAGGGGGCGGTGAATAATGCATCAAAGCAGCTAACACTCCAGTATACTAACAAAACTAGAAAAACTAGATCAATAAAAAGCTGCAAGCCACCCAAAGGTCAGAAATAGTAACAAATTAAATTAGCATCTAGCAAACACTTTCTTGAAGGAAATCAGTTTTGCCTGCATTTTGACAGATGAGCATCAAAAGAGTCACACAGACCTCTCACAAGAGACTTTACAAAGGCCTTCTTTCTTGTCCTGATGCTGTATACCACAGACCACAGAAAACTGTGCCAAGTGAATCACAGTGCCGGGGCAGGGTTGTCTGATAGAAAGACTTTCCCGATATGTTCTGATCTCAGGTCATTCAGGACTTCATAGGCCAAGAACAAATTACATCTGGAAACAGACAGTAACCAATATATAAATTTACCCTAGGTGCAAAATATAGCAGCCTTTACACTACAAGGAAAATGGGGAAAGTTTGAGACTTAAACTGAAAATTACAGAGGCCAACCGACCTCCTGGAGTCAACTATTACTGGTTGCCGTAAATCTACTTCAGGAAGGTCAGGTAGCAAGCGCACAAACTCATCTCTGCACTTGATAGACAGAAGAGTCCTAAGAGATCACCCCACAGTGTGGGTTACACAAGTCTGATAGCCCTGTTGCTGCACATTATGCCAAGCCTTGGAACAACATCCTCCTGGTGAAAACTAAGTGTAAGAATGCCTAGATTGCTGTAATTAGAACCCCACAACCAGAAACTCAAATTCTGCAGTGGAATTAAATTATGCACATTTAGTACTGTATATGTTTACTTGAGGAGCCTAAGCAGAAGTACTGGATGTCACCATGTAATATATGTTCCTTTGTTCTGGAAGAAAATGGAGCAGAAGGCATACGCACACATCCTCCTTTGTTTATCCAGCGAACCAGAACCATCACAGGGACAATCACAAGCCAAAGACTGTTTTCTGAGCCTTATGCACTGGCTTACAAAAACTTCCTGAAATGAAGACATGATTAAGGTCCCATTGTGTTCAAGAACAGTAGGGTCAGGGGGCAAAAAGCCCCGTCCCATCACATGGAGCAGTTTGAGGCACTCTAGGCTTGATACATGGCTGGATTTGTGAACTGTTTAAAAAAATGAAATTGAAGCCTTATGCTTCAGAATCAGCACACCAAATGCTCATGAAAATGCTCAGTCAGCCATTTTCATACAGATGCACATCTGATACATATCTATAGGTATATAGATTGATAACCGTACTAATTTTAAAGGCTATTTAACTAGGTCATCAAGAATAGTTAACATTTTACATTCCAAATGCAAAGTTATATATATTAGGGCTATTACCATTCCATACTGCTATAAAATGGATTCAGTAGAATGAGCATGTAAATTGAAAAGAAAACGAATGTCTCTTCAGGCACAAGGAAGGAAATTTGTTCCCAAATGGGAAACTTTGTCTGTGATTCAGCCAATGTTGCTCTTGGATGTATTGTTTTGGCTTCCAGGTGACACCCTTCTGCAACAATGCAGATAAGTTGGTCACTTTTGAGCAAGCAAATTAGAAAGAGGCAAATATGTTTGGGAAAAAGTCAACCAAAAGCCCAAAGGAATTCTTCACGCTAATACTGGTAAACTATGGAATGAATGTGCCACCTGTAAAGTGTATACAGCAGCCAACACTGATACTATCCCTAAATTCTTCTCGAAATCTTTGACCCCATATTTCTCTGTGGAAGCATGATTAGCTTTGCTGTTCTTAGTTTCTGATGCAACATGAGAAACAACCATAAGTTACAAACCACAGGAATGTCATAGTGTCACTCCTTAAACACCTATTTACAAATGTTTCTGTATAAACCTCTCTTCAAAATTTAAAATTTACATTTTTTCTCAATGTACGAAGTGCTTGCTTTTCCATTTTCTGAAGTACAAATGTGAATTCTGAATGCAAAATCTTTTAGGAAGTTATCTCTAATAAAATAAGCTTGATATTATGCTCAGCATACAAAAACTTATCAAATGTTTCACAGTTCCACTCTAGCTTATTAAAAGTTTTAAATTACAAAAGGTTTTTTTAAAAGATCATTCATGAAGTGTTGGGGGGAACAGAGACCATTTGTTGATACTAAAGCCTTTACTGTAATAAACCAGATGTATTTACAATTTATACAAATGTTTGATCTTCAACAAAAAATACAAAAGGCTATATCCCAAGAGGCAAAACCAGAAAACAAGTTTATCCAAGATACCACTGTTCTACACAAGACAGAATGCAGGTGGGATTGTAAGTGTTGAAACATAATCCGACATAATCAAGCAATGAGCATGACTTTATGAGATCAAAAAGGGGGAGAATCCAAAAGGCTGCAACAAAGCAGCAGACTCTGCTTTTAAAATCCATCACAACTATGCTACATTAATCCATCTTGCCTTCTTGCTTCACACCAGTCCAGTCGCTGGATGCCAAAAAGTTGCCTTCTTCATGCGCGATGCACAGAGACCGTGAAGAACAAAAGGTTGCCTTCTGCTTTAATATGTGTTGATTTGCATCATGTAAAGGTCTCAAAATCAAGTTCTTCCTTTCTTTCCTTTTAATTAAAAAAAGGCAAAGTCTTCCTTTGAATGTCTACAAACTGAGTTTGGCCCAGTTCAACTCTTCATTTGCAACATAATTTGTCAGTAGATAACTTCATAGACAGTAGCCTTCTTGTCTCCAGATCCGGTGACTATGTATTTATCATCAACAGAGATATCACAGCTAAGCACAGAAGAGGATTCTTTGGACTGGAAAAGAAAGAACACAGCTATAATATGCACGCGTGAGAATACCTTTGTTTGCACTTTTATGCAACAAGCCAGAAACAGTGGAGTCATGATATAACAGAGTCATTATGGCACAACATCTCTGAGAGCAGAATGGGATAATTCCAGGTCGCTCCAGGAGCTCCTTGGTGAAAGTGTGGGATACAAATATGACTGAGCATAGGAATAATCTATCTTGTTTCTTCACACTCCCAGCACTACCACCAGCTCCAATCATCAAATCTCTTTCACAAACAAACAAACTGTTCTTACCTGAAATATACTAGCACCATATGGAGTCCTCCAGGCATTTAAGAGGTTATCTTTTCCAGTACTTACAAACCATTTGCCTGAAATAAGACCATCAATGAGAACACAGTAAAACATCTTGCACCAACATGGAGACTTATGTACTGTTCATAGTGCTGTGTACGCAAGGAAGCCTCTATTGTGTGGCTAAATTGTTCCCCAGGTGTGCTCACTGTATTCAGAGATTACTGGCCGGTGGGGGAGAAGTGGAGGGGCACCGAAAGGAATACAGTGTGAAATATTGTCAAAGATCTCTGTGGGAAAATCAATACAGTTGCCACCACCGTTCAACATCTTCTCATTTTGACAAGTGCTTGCTGCATGGTTAACCAACGCAGAGTGCCTGAAAACAGCCGCAGGGCATCCCTGGGCCCTCCGTTCTAGGACAAATCCATCTTTGTGATGTGGCTTATATAAATGATTTAACTAAAAAGGCATAATAAGCTCAGCAAACAGTGGGCATCGTTCAGCGCTCTTGATACTCAACATGTTATAGCCCTACAGCCTAAGCAAACCAAATGCCCCCAGCTGTGCAAGAATGCAGCTTTGATCATATTGCCCACATTTCAGACATGAACTACTTCTAACAATTTTCCTGCGGGAGCTGGTAGGAGGCTGCAACTTTTATTTTCCACTTGGTACATCAGACATGGAAGGCTCTCACTTAAGATGTTCTGCTCAGGTGGGGCTGGTTTACAGACATGTGGGTGGTGTCTAGCCACTCTTCCTCCGACTTACCACAGTAAGCAAACTTGAGCGATAGCACACAGCTCTCATGCAGATGGAGCTGATATTTGTCTGGTTTAATTACATGCAGCACTTCCACATTACTGCTTTCCATGCCTACGGCCAGCCATTCACCAGTGGGGCAATAGCCAAGGGAAAATATCTTGGGGGAGAGACAGAGAGAGAGGAATTAGCGAGGGGGGAAAAAGGAAATAGACTTAAGTCTTTTGCGTCTCTGTTAAAACATGGGATGAGATTGTGAAGTCCAAAGGCAGCACGGAAAAGGATTAAGTACATGGGGTGTGCTAATTCCCTGGAGACATATTTGTCACTTCAGAACTCTCCACGGCATTTATTCTGCCTTTGCTTTCACAACTCTACCCCAGGCAAAAATGCCAACTTTGATTCATAGATGCACTCAGTGTTCTAAATGCTATTTTAATAAACATTTGTTAGGGTTTCAAAGAAAATGGTCCCATAAAAGATACAAATTACCTAATGAGCGCTTGATTGACAATAGTGATTATGCTCCACAGTAATGTTCTGATTGAAGGCAGCCTGAGGCTACACTAAAAGCTTCCATGAATTGTAAGCGTACTTGTAGTACTAAGAATTTCACTATTATCAATACTGTGACTTTACCGCAGGCGAAGGAGTGTACCCAGTATCAGATGAAGTCAACTGGTGCGTTCATCAGTGCTTTAAGATGATGCAAAAAATAAACCCTAAAGCCAGATACCTGGGATGTGAAGTCATGTTGCTGCAGCTGCCTCCCTTCTCTCAAGTCCCAGGATCTTACAGTGTTATCCAGGCCTCCCGTCCAGAGCTTGGTACCATCATTAGAAATGTCAATACAGCTGGCTCCATCTGTGTGGCCCTGGAATTGCCTGATAAAACAAACCAGATTGAATAATGATTTCCTGCCAGAACTCAAGGTAAACACTGTTGTGTTGTTAGTTTTGGACTCTGCGTGTGTGTCATCTTCTCTGCACCAGCCAATGTGCAGCAAGCAGTAATCCTGCCCCCTCCACACCCTAATGTAAAATACGCTCACTGTATACAACGATTTTGCAGGTGGCAAAACACATCAAATGTACCATAAATTGGCTAAATAAGAGCAAGCCACACATTTGCACAGAACTGTAAAAGGACAGGATGGCTATCTGAGAAACTATAATGTAATTCACTATGAAGGCACCTGGAAATAAAACTTAATAGATTACTATGCTAACTCAAAGGACAAATTGACTCAGAGACAGCCTGTTATATATAGGCTTTGTTTAAACTCTGAATCAAGAACATAAAAATACGTGGAAGATTCTGCTGCATAAACGCACGCAGGAACGGATCCAAAAATCTAAGCTTTCTGCTTGCATTGGCTGAGCCTGCAAAACAATGCCCTTGGTAGCAAACAGGTCATGAACTGTCATCATTATTCAACTCCATTTTATGTTTTAAATCTCAGCATTCAGAAATCCCTGTTCTCAGTAACAAAGAGTCAGCTCGAGCCTTCCTTAATCCCTAAGCTGGAGAGTTCCAAGGTGCCTGCCTTTCTCCATCAGCAATTAGCTTTAGTTCCAGACCTTAGCAGCAAGAGCAGGAAGGGGAAGAATGGCTATCATGGGACAAGCGATGAATCAACATGGCACGTCTGGAGCCACTGGCCTGAAAACTCAGAGTTATCAGTTTATGCACTCCTTTTTTTTCCTGCCATTTTTACTAACACAAGTAAGGGTAAGAAGCAAGCCACAACAAATTGGCAACCAGTACTTATTGCTCATGAAACCCTGGCAAGAACTCACAGTTCCACAGTAATTAAGGATATAACTAAAGGATAAACAGGATCCTTTGCTTCCAAAGGACCACCAGGGCAACTGGGATTATTTTCTCTCTTTTGCTAAGGTAAATGGCAGGTGAGCTAGTTTCCCCCAAGCTTTCTCTATGTCAGACATACAGGTATGCTGTTGCTAAAGCCCTCTATCCAACCATTGCTTCTTTATCCCTTTAGATCCTTTCCAGAACAGATCCTTGAAAGAATTCATTTATGCATGCTCATCTCTCTTCCCTTGCATGAATGCACCCAACTGACTGATTTACGCAATAGTACCATATGTGGCAGGAGATACCAATATGAAGAGTGTTGATCATGGACCTACTTACCTCATCCTACATTTATGCAGGAGAGATGGGCAGGGGGGAGAGTAAGTGGATGCACCCTATTGAGAAGGAGCTGGCCTGTAAGACTGCTAAACAGGACTGTCAACTGCAAGCAATCGCAAAGCCACCACTGGAGGCTATGTCAGCTGTTACTTTTATCTAATTGCATCTTAAAAGCCAAATCTGCAAGGGCCACATGTCAGACTGTTCAAATATTATGGCTGTGGGTGCTGAATAAGACTTTTCACTTCCTTTTCCTGTTCACAAAAGCAACAAAGCTGTCCCTGAGCTGCACAAGAGACTGGCAATCATTTACAAGAAATTTTATGAAAGAGTTTGTAAAATGTCTGCTTACTGCTATGGTTTATCTTTCTTCCCATAGACAAGTTTCACTGTTTAACTATAGCACTTCCTTTTAAAGGGTCTGATCGGTCCTGTAGTTAGCACTTGCCAGGGAATAAGGCCAAAATCTATTTCAATGCATTTAAGGATTAAAGGTAACCCTGTTACAGAATGCAAAAGTGTCTGTCAGATGAAAACTGGTGCTTCTCAGCATGAGGTGCCAAGGTAGAACACATATTGTGTAAAACTCCTATCATGCCTTGTGGATTACAAGCCAAGATGGTAAATAGTCACCAGTCTTAAGTGGACCCAACTTAAGTGGTGGCTTGAGAAGAAACCAAAGACAGTCATCAGTTCAGTGTGCTATAGAAATAGGCCAGCATGTGAATTCTGCAAAGCTGTAATTGCATCACACCAGCAGAAGCTAGAAAGGAACACTTAAATCATCATTCAGACAGTATCAGCATTTTTCTGTAATGAAGTAACTTTCTGAATATGGGCTTGAGTGAGCAAATGCTTGACTGAATGTTTAGGGAGTCAGTGGATCAGCATTTTCCTGCAGTCAGGATGTGGGTTTGGATTTATTTGAATTCTGTATGGCCCTGACATAGAATTTTGATATTTCCTTCAAGTACAGAGTTCACACAGTCTTGTTCGTAATTAAGATGAGTCATTCAGCCTCCAAGAGCCCAGAAATGCTTAAGTGCCCAAACTTTGAAGCTTTAAATAGCCTCTCATTACCAAGGCAGGTGCAAAAGTCAGCTGTGCTTTGCTGAGATTTATTGTGGGCCTCTGCCAATTTTGTTGTGATGCATGAAAACTTGGTCTTGTGGTCCACCAAACACTGTCATATTACAAAGCTATTTTAAGCAGTTAAAAGTCACTGCCTTGCCAAGACATTCACATCAAGCTGCACCAATCCATTCATTCTTTCCTCCTGACGGCTTGGAAGGACATTACTTATGTGAGTTTTATGTTAATCACACTCCCTACCTTGCAAACCTGGAAGTGTTAGAGACTCCGTGCAAAAAGAAAAGCCACTTAGGCTGCAATCCTATATATGATTACTTGCAAGCATGTCCCAGTAAACTCAATCAAACTTCCTTCTGAGTAGTCATTAAGCAGACTGCTCTGTTAGCTTTAAATTGGAGGAAAGAACCCAGATCAGTTGCCAAAAATGCAGGCAATTGGGGGCAACCAGATAACCTGAAAATGAGCTAACTGAAAAGATCTAACCACTCAGCATTTTCAGGCATATTTACAGAACACACCTGCTGAGAAAAGATGACCAACAACCAGTTATTATTGTTACTATTTTAAGATAGGCATGTTGTTTATTTACTTGTAGAGACAAATAAGCAATGTCTGAAACACAAACAAAGCTGAATTACGGTTGAAAACACCATCGCCATTTCAACATCTGGCATGGCTGAATTTGTATTTAAATTGGATCATGTATAGTTGGCTCCCACATTTGCAGGGGTTAGGGGTGCAGGACATGCATGAAAGTGGAAAAACCAAAAGTATCTCTTGTGCCCCACCCCTGCACAAATCATCAGTGCTTGTTTTTTGCAGCAAGGAAATGCTGGAGATTTCCCTCTCTGGATAAGCAGGGCAGGAAAGCATGCTTTGGATAACTCCCGCTCTACCCTTTCACTTCCTCTCTCTCTATGGTGATGATTTGGAGACCTTCCTTCTCTCCTGTCACTTCCTCTTTCTCTATGATACTGACAATTTCTCCCACCCCCCACCCCCATATTTTTTAAATTAATAGGCTGTATGGCAGTTTGTTCATAACTCAGGAGGTTCATGTACTGCATCAAGGATATTAAGAAATGCATCATTTATTCTGCCATTTTGACTCTGTGCCTAATTATTTGGTTGTCATGGTGAACATCAACCCCAATCCTGATTGCAGAAATTCTTGTTCAGGATCTCCCTGGCTCATGAGATTTCAGTAGGCATTATCCACACTCTTACAGTCATATACCCTCACAGTCCTGGGTTCTTTCAACAAGCTATTAAATATAATATTCTCAGGAAGCCACCCATATCCAAACTGTTTTCTGAGCTTTCATGGAATTGCAGCTTGAAGTTGATGTATTCAGAACCAGAGATGTTTCTGATTCTGATAACAGAAGAGTTAAGAAAGAAGGGGCTTAGAACACAAAAATATCAAGAGCAGAGCAGAGAGATAAGGAAAGAACTGCAGTAGTAGTGAGCCTCCAAGCATGGATCAAAATCCATGAATTCCCTGGGCAAAAATCAGGTGGATTTGTCTCAATGGCAAATTCAGAACCATTGATTTAGGCAACATATGTAGCACTTTCACATACACTAATTAACAGAGGAACAGCACTAACCTGACCAGTGTTTGATTGTGCAGATCCCACACGGCTATGTTCCCATCACTGCAGCAGGAGAAGCAGACCTTGGAATCAGGGCTGATCGCCAGAGCATAGCAGGCAGGAGCCGAGGACGTCAGCTCTGCTTTGATGCGCGGAGTCGGAGCCGCCAGGTCCCAAATGGATAACGTGCTGGCTTCCCCACCGACAATCAGGGTGCATCCATCAGGGAGCAATTTACAAGATCGGATGTAGTTATCTCTGTTCTGCAGAAGTACAAACCACCCAATAGCATTACTTTCTCTGCATTAATGGGCACTGACTGGTCTCATGCTGCATCCAGATGCTGCAAACAGTCAAGTTCCAAAGAACCAACAAGTCACTGCCAATCCTGCCTCCTACTGCTAAGAAAATTCAAGCTAAGTTCTTTCTTGGAAGTATGGCACTCTGTTTTGTTTTCTGTGTCATGGGCTGAGATTTCTTCTGTCTCATTGCAAGAGGACCAGAGCCAAGGAAAGCTTGTGGGGATGGGACATTCCCCGGTCATGCAGGTTCTCTTTACAGTTTAATCATTAATATCCCTACTTTCACATTTCCTTATACTTGTTGTTGAAAACTACAGAAAAAAGGGAATTGAAAAATTCCAGGGCACAGTTGTTACAGATTCTAGTCCATAAATGCAGCTGTTGTCAATATTCTTTTAACAGCCACATCAGAGTGGTAAAAATTTTGTAGCAGCCATGAGAATAAGATCAATAAAAGATCATTTAGTGCTAGTAAGAAAAAAGTAATAATGTTATATTTTTGTTACATTCAGAGTAGAAGAATATTTTGCTGTGGTAGGGGATTTTTTCTTCCTTCTGATCTCATTAGTATTTTTATTTATTTATTTATTTATTTAAAACGTTTATATGCCGTCACCACATGCTTCGGCAATAAATAACAGAGTATCCTAAAGTTTGCTAAGTTGAAACACTATCACCTAGAAGTGTTTTGCATGCAGAAGGTACCAGGTTCAATTCTGGCATTCCCAGACAAGGCTGGAAAACCTTCTGCTTGACTTTCTGGAAAGCTGCTGCCAGTCAGTGTCAACAATACTGGGTTAAATAAACCAATTCAGTGACTGGTTTGGATCATGCAATAACCCAACATTGGTTTGTTTTCATAGATGGGTTGTTGTATTGTCCAAACAGCCTGGGTCACCCAGGCTAAATTGTTGTTGTTCTTTCCAATTTACTTCCTCTGGGAACCCATGAGCTGTTCCTTGGGTTATCTTGCTGTCCCTGTTGTTACCATACTTTCAATATGGCATTATGGCTTTGGTATTTTAAATATGGCATTATGGCTTTTGGTACTATATACTAACTTTTATATCTTTTCCATTTCTTATCATACAAAAATATTACTTTGAAAATAGTGTGCCAACTCTCCCTTAGAAGTAATGATTTGCAGTAACACATTTAGTGTAATTATTTAAATTTATAAATTCTTTACAAACTGGCTTAAAAAAAAACATACAGCAAACAGTTCACCTAAAATAAAAATGAGCTATTCTTAAAAGGGTCACAGTTAAAATCTGGATTTGCTTTCCCATTAGTCAATTTTATTCTATCTAAATTTAAAATGGTAAAATATTATGGGCATTTGATGCCTACTGGCAAAACAAACAAGCCAATTAGGAATTTCTAATTAGGAAACTGGGAAATGTAATAAATTAGGAACTCTAATTTATGAGGGGAAAAACCTAACTTTAAAGTTCTACTTTGAAACTTTCACATTTTGAGAGTTTAATTTAAATGTGAACATCTTACTTCCTTATATGCTGTGCTGAGCAATTTACTATCAAACCCTCCAGGGATGCAAAATTGAAAGGGCTGAGAAGTTATCACCGCAAATTTTGCAGTATCCCCTCAAAAATAATAATAATAACAACAGCTATTAAAAAACAAAACAAAACAAAAAACAAACAAACAGCATTTCCTGCAATGCAAGAGAACAGAAACTTGCTCCTTTAGGGAAATCCATAAAAAGAGTACAGGACAGAGCCTTTTTGACGACAGCCCCCAAACTCTGAAACTCCTTCCCATCATGAGGTCAGTCTGGCTTCTTCCCTTTAACCTTCAGTAAGGTGTTCACTCTATGACCGATTGTGCTTTGTTTGTTGCCACAGGCTTTGATTTTTATTTATTGTTGTATTAAACTTTTATTTTACACCACTCGAGGTCTTTTGGGCCAAAATGTAGCCTATATATCAGCACAGCATCCCCCAGTTTGATGCCCTCCACATGTTAAGAATGTAACACCTAGCATTCCCCCAACCAGCTAAGTTGATTCGGGGAAACTGGGAGTTGTAATCCAACATATTTGGATTACCGCAGACTGCATTAGCTAACTGCCTAGTGAAATTCATCTGGACCTAATTTTCAATTTGGAATTCCACTGGAACTTATCCTTATGCAGAAGTGTTATTTTCACATACCAGACAGTCAAGCTGTGAGACAGGACTCTTGTTGCCAGGTTGACTGATATCCCAGACTTTGACACACCCCTTCCCACCAGTGTATACATGTCTGGTGGGGTTGCTGATGGTAACTGCACAGACCACTTCCCCATGGTTCAAGGTATTGATCTGGCGAGCATGCCGAGGTATTCCTGGTCCAATGAGAGCATCAGGGGGAAAGGGAACAGGTTGCATCTGGCCATCTGCAGTGACATGAAAAGAGTACGCTCTGTTTGGGAGGAAAAGAAGAAATCACAAGTCACACAGTTGGCCTGTTTCAGGTACTAAATTATGGCAGTGGGACAGCTCATGCATTACAAGCAATGTGGCATAGTTGTTCCCATTTGAAGATTGCTAACAGCTAGTGCAGGGCTGCTGGCATGGTTATTTGCCATACAGCCATGTCTTGGTATGGGACACAGGCATGGGAAATAACAGAGCTGGAGCTATATTGGATGGAGCTCTGAGCTATATTTTCCCTTTGCCTTCAAGTGCAATGAACATCCAATATATTTTAAATGACAGACATGGAAGTGCACATACATTTATTTGAGGAAATGTCTTTGTGATCTTCCAGGGATGGACATGGATTACTTTTTGTGAGGAGATTGCTACAAGAATCCATTCACATGAAAACCTGTTCTTAAGAATTACTTATTGTGTCCTAGCACTTTCCCTTACAAGTCTTGTGGGATTCACAACTGATGGCAGCATGTGCTGATTAAACTAGAGGCATGGATATTCAAGGGGGGGAAAAACCAAGAATCCAACAAGGTCATTTGATCACAAGGCCCATGCACATCCCATATGGAAGAAACAGAAGGAAAGAGGGAAATAACATTTTCACCAGATCTCCACATCTGTGCTGTAGTTTTACTTACTGCTACATAAGAAGAGCCATGCTGGATTAGATCAAGAGACCATCTAATCCAGCATTCTGTTCACACAAAAGCCAACCAGCTGCCCACAGAAAATCCACAAGTAGCACATGAGTACAACAGCACCCTCCCACCCAAGTTATCCAGCAATTGGTACACATAGGCAGACTACCTCTGATACTGGAGGTAGGACTTAGCTTTCTCCTCCATGTGTTAGTCCAATCACCCTTCAAAGCTATCAAAAATTCATCACCATCACTACATTCTGTAGAGGTGAATTACATAGTTTAACTATGTGGCAAGTGAAACACTTCCTATTATTCATCCGGATTTTCCCACCAAGCAGTTTAATGGGGTGACCCACACTGGGTGCTATGGGACAGTTAGATCACCTGTAGGGCTTAAGATACTAGTGATTTAGTTTGTCTGCTCTCCCAGAAACTTCGGCCAATAGAGCCAATGGACAGGGATGAAGGCAGTTATAGGCGAACAATATCTATGGAGGGTCTGTAGACTTTTCATCTCTAATCCAGACAGAAAAGATGGGAATGAACCTGACACTGTTAAAGGAATTGTTTGGAAATACAACAATAGCAGGCATGATGTGGTAGAGCAGTGGTACAGCTAGGTCTGGACTTCATGGCCACAGAGCCTGGTGGGCTTCCAAGTAACCATTCAGATGAGGTCCGGTTATTAGGGTATCGGGGCAGTAGAGGCAAACTCCTATTTATTCCTATAGTTTTGATAGTGCTACAATTTAAGTGAGTTTAAAATAAAAAAATGCATGTGCTCAGAGGGTTTTTTTTTTATCAGGACTGACAGTTTTCTTGCTCTACTGCTTTAGGAATGCAGAAGAAATTGTAAAGTGTAGAATGGTGCTTAGGAGGGAAGGAAGAGAAATATTAGTTGTGTGCTTCAAAACTGAACGAATACCCAGGGCCACTGTGTGTTATTTTGGTAATACACATGGTCCCATAAGATTGTAAGTCCAGGGTCTAAAATTACTTAGCTGTACAAATGAGCGAAAGCAGTGTAGAATCTCATGAAAGGGGAGGAAAAACCTTCACTTGGCATGTTGCCAGAATACAAGATTTTTAGGTCAGCTTACAATAGTCCAAAACATGTTGGGAAAGCAGACAGGTCTGGCCCAGTGCATGCTGACTTCGGAATCTGAGTTCAGTGGGATTCCCCCTGACCTGCTGAATGTGCACATTTTCTGTACTAGGATAAATAAGTGGCAGGCAGCAGTAATGGGAGGATTCCAAAATTGTATTTATGGAAAGAAGCATACAGTAGCTTTGAGTGTTAATGATACACTTAAATACCAGAGACATAATGCCTACACTTCTTGCATTTGTACATCATGCATATTTCAAGTCCCTCCTAGGTCTTTAAACACGGGAAGCCTCTAACAAGGACTAGATTATTTGTAATAGTCAAGGGTCTTGAATTCTGTGAACTTGTTGTCAGGTGGTGGAGAGGAAACAGGAAAAAGGTTGTCCAGAGGGAGTTCTTTCAATAGCAACAGAATGGAAAACAAGAGTGTGTTCCTAGGAGGCTGATTAATTAAAAAAAAAAAAAAAACAGCATCCAGTTCTATTCTAATTGTTGCCGGCTTCAACAGAAATACTATTTTGCTAGAAAGTCAGGACTTGTTTTCATGGCTTTTTCATTTTTAGAAAAACACACAAAACATACCCTGCCAGTTGCTCCACAGATGAAATAATGTAACAACTAGGCAGCTGAGACTAGGAGGAAGTTATTTGTTTTGGGAGGGAGGGGAAATCTCCCCACCCCCTCTAAGAGGAAGAGTCTACACAGCTAGGATGCTGCATCCCATTTACAAAATAAATTCAATATGACATCCCGATTTGTGTGCCTGAAAGAAACTAGCTTTCAAACTGAAGCTGAAAACTCTCCTGCTGTCAATATGAATCTGCGGCAGACGGTGCATTATCTGAACTCCTACACCAGAAATTTTCAATAGACTTATCTATCATAGATAAGGATATGCCATCAGAAAGTTGCTATGGGTAACTGAAGGCATCCCGCTGCCTTGAGGTGATCAGGCGTAGCGTCAGCCTAGTTTCAAAGGCAAATAATGAAAGGAGATCAACTCAGCACCTAGGATTTTCAAAGTTTATCTTGTCTATTTATATAGTACACACAGGCTAAGATGGAAGCAGCTTCCAGCAAGCATAGTGTGTGTGTGTGTGTGTGTGTGTGTGTGTGTGTGTAAGAAAAGAACTGGGTAGTTATGGAGAAACAATTTTTAAGACAAGAAAACACAGGCCAGAGAAGAGTAGCCACGGGGGAAGCCACACAGGACTTTCCAGAACAATGCAGGCTTTAACACTTGATAGTGTTACTTGCACTTTGTTAACCTTGACATTTCAAGCTCTTATTCTTAAGATGATCACACAGACCTCCTAAATACTGTTCTAAAATAATGAAAACAGCAAAAAATAAACACTCTTAAGAATCCAGATCAAAATCCAGATCTCAAGAGAGATACTACACTGACCTTAGTCCACAATGGCATGGAACACCCAGGTCCTGCTGGGTAATGGCCGTACACCATGCAAATTAGAGATAGAAAATCTTTGGCACATGGCAGAGTTTAGAGCATGGGTCCACAAACTATGGCCTGGGGGCCGGATCTGGCCCACCATGCCCATTTATCCGGCCCGCCATACCCATTTGGACCCGCCGTGCCTGTGCCCACACCCCCACCGCCGCCCACCTCGCCCGCGCATGGGGAGAGAGGGGTTTGCTTGCTCGGAGAAAACGATCTCCAAGCGAGCAAGCCACTGCCTCATGCACCCGCCCCGCCTCACCTTGCCGCGTGCCCCATCCCCACCTCAGCGCACGCACCTGCATGCGCCGCCCCCGCCCCGGCCCACGCGCACTGCCGGCACTGCCTTTCTGGCCCGCTCCCAGCACCAGCAGCTTTCAACTGGCCCCCTGATGGAAAAGTTTGAGGACGCCTGGTTTAGAGTATCTAACAGTTTCTACATGTACCATGCAAAAATGTGTATTAAGCGCAAACCATAAGCATTTACAGATTTTATACTTGACCAGCAGGTCTACTAGATGGCATGGCTTCTGTTGCCTCAATGATTTTGGAGCCTTCTCAAGTGCATTAGAGGCTGAATTATGCAAATAATCAAAGAGATACATAGAGGTTTTATTTGCATGGATTTATACAGGTTGCAGAATTAAACTTTTCTTGATGCAATATTTGGATTGCCTTGGCCAACAATCTGTACTGAGGGCCAGAATATGCATAGTCTTAACGCATGTTAAGACAAACCACTTCCACAGAAGGATGCCTAATATTGCCTCATTTTTGAAATATTAAACTCTAAAATAAGGAACTTGCTTCGTGGTTATCTTCTGGAATAATAACAAAGGAGCAAGTTATTCACTGAAGCCCAAAAAATAAATGATCTTCAGAACATGCTAAAATTAGAAGTGGGAATTTATCCCAATATCTTTGCAAAAGAGGTTTTCAGCCTGAATACAAATCAAAACAAGAACATACTTTATTTATTCCACCAGAGTACTACATTCCAGTCATCTTCAGCCTTCTGAAGGGAGGAACATGCCTTGCCAATACATTCTTATCGCTGCCAACTAAACGGTGAATGCTGCTTACAAAAATAGCATGAATGTGCTATGTACCATAAAGATGGATTTTATTTTGAAAAAAAAAGTATCAGGAGAAGACTGCAACCTTCCTGAAAAAACTCAACAAAGCTTCCCCCTTGGGATTCTTATCTATTGACATGTTAAATGAAATGTGCCCTGCCTGACTTAGACTTAACAATGATGTCAGACGTTACTTATACTTACGGTTTTCCTCCAGGGATTCCAGCCAGATTTGGAGGGATTCCGGGTACTCGCATGTGAGGAGGAGGATCAAACCCAACCTGATAATGAACCATCAAAACTTAATGATCAGAGAAAGCATTCTCTACAACTCAGCCCAGTCACTGGCCACATTAGAAAAAAACCAACCAACATTTGTGCAATGCATCATTTAGAAAGAATTTTAAGATTGGGTATTGTCCCAAAACCATATTTACATATGCAGGGTGCTCACAGTTCAAATATATCACATTTCACATTGATGTAAATGCTACACTAAGTACATAGTTTTGAACTCCAAATAACATAAATAATAATTTGCTAAGGCATGTCGGCACTGAAGTATATGCATGCATACCCCATTTTGTGGTGGCAGATTATGCCTAAAAGATATACATGTACAGATACAGAAACATTGGTCCCAAATTACACATAATCACCTATATGAGGGTGGGTATTATATAAAGGCTCAAGGCTGCCTCCTTTAACCTCAGCACAGGTAGAGCCTTCCTGTGGGTAGAAAGGACAGCTGGGACAGGAACAACACTCCAATTTAGAAACAATCCCCCCAAAATGGGCCTGAATACTATCTATGCAACTTCTACTTCTTGCAAAAGTTTCCAATGGCTTACAAAAGCTTGTTCACATAAGGTTAAACAATTAACCAGTATTACATTCGAATGCAGTCACAACATTACTCAAACCTCACTGGATCATTGCCTTTTTAAATAAGGGTATAAAGCACTGTACATGTACAACATGTCTAAGCAGACAAACTTCTGAGGTTATTATATTGTAGGAATCAGATAATGCTCAATGAAATGCAGAGTTTTTTCTCAGTGAAACACAGCTCCTTCCAGTTCAGCTTATAAGCTTACCATGGGGGATCGCCCATAGGCGACCACAGCAGCTGCAGCTGCAGCAGCACTCATTTGCGGGGACATGTTGTGTAGACTGGCATAGGCGGCTCCTGGGCTGGTCAGCTCACCGTTCATGCCAGCATGTGGTACCATTCCAAATGGAGCAGGGTAAGGACCAGGTACAGCAAGAGGCGTCCTCAAACCAGCAGCTGCAGTAAAAGCAGAGAGCATAAAATAAAAACAAAAATTGGATAACGCTGATCATACCCTGATTACTTTGAGCTCAAAACATCCACCTTAAACATCTGAGCTCCATATACATAAACTTTGCATAGCCTTTCATGATTAGCCAAGAGTGATATACTTTGTCAAACGGAACACACAACAGCTCATGTCATTTTGCATTTGTTGTGATGTAGATTTCCATCTCAAATACAGGATAATGCAGCCTGAAAGAACTAACCCTCAGAATAATGATGAGAAATTCTAGAGAGATTTTCTACTGGTCGGATTATCTCAGAGATCACACACAGGAAAGAAACTGACAAGATGGCTGCTTAGAGTGAGAGCTGTTAGTTCATCATGATTTCTGGATCAATAGGTACATGATCACCACACCAAAAGTAAATGAACAACAACAAATCAAAGAACAACAAAAGACCTTTGCATTACCTGCTTGATTGACCAGAGGGTCCATTGTTGGAGGTTTGCCAAGGCCTGGACGAAGGCCCGGCGTAGCACTAGTCCCCGGAGTTGGCACATCACTTCGTGGAGTTGGTGTGCTGGATTTCAGAACTGGGGTGCTCGCTTTTTCATGCTGGTATCATTAAACAGGTTAAATGAGTACTGTTTTTAATCCAGGCCATATTACACAATGGAGCACAATAGCCGCTGGAATATTAGTACCTACTTCCTGGCCAATTTTCCTACAATCTAAGCAGCACTAGCACTGTTAATCTCCTCCATTTGTGCCAACAGGCAAGACGTATAAAACACATTAATTGTATTCTTTATTGGCAAGAGCTGGGATTGATTAGATAATTGTTGTTTAACATTTTATCAGCTACTTTAATTTAAACGCAACAACTGCGATTACTCTAATACAAAGTGCTGTGTGGGCACACTGATAATAAAGGATGAGTTACTTGTCCATCTGAAGTTGTAAGTGGTCCTTTTGCGTGCACACAAGTGCACACACAGATGGATAAGAATCACCTCTTCTGATATAAATACACCAAATAAATGGTGTACTGGGCAAAATAGTGCTTTTCTATCAGATATGTAGATGTTCACATATTTTGCTCAGTGTCAAAGAACCATAAATGTAATAACCAAATGCATGGAGTAATGGGGTTTTTGAACTGGGACTCATACAACCATATGTACTAGTCCAGTTCTCAGCCCCTGAATTTTTTCAGTTCACGTTAAGGCACAAGAGAGAAATCACCTTGTGAGAGTCAACAAAGAAGTTAACTATACAAGGTGGGTCTTCCGGTTCCTACCACATGTACTGTGTGTCTAATAATGCCAGGTATTAAATTTCACAAATTAGTGCAAAAGTCAGTGGTTTAAAACAAAGACCAATGTGTGACCAAGAGTTTATTTGACAGCTACAGCCTAGAATGCTGTTATCTGGTTTGACTTAAACAATTAATCTTACAAAATTGCAATCACTGAAATAAAAATGAAGCATTCCTTTTGATCCTGATAGAGCTGGATGCAAATAGCTGTGTGATTAGAAAACAGTATATTGCTTGTATTAGTTATACATTTCCATAGGTATTGGGGGGGGACACTTTCCCATACCATTTTGCATTAGCTGACAGACTAAGAGTTGTGGGCATGCAATTAGCACATTTTGATTTCCAGTAAGTTACATTACTGGGATGTAAACATAAGCAGAAAAGAGCCATTCACAAGAAACAATTTCAAATAAATTTAAAAGAGCTTTAATTGCTGTCTTAATCATTGCATTTGATTAATGTAGTTGTTCCATTTAACTCCATGCACATCCCCCCTCACCCAATGCATGTGATGATCCATGGGGCAGTAATCTATAAGGCCAACTTCTAGGTGTCAAACTGTAGGGCACAGACAGACCATACATAAGGAAAAATACTCACCAAACCTATTTCTTTGGATTTCATGGAGGTGGAACTCCCTGATGAGGCAGTGGATGCTGGACTGCTAGAGGCATCTTTCTTCAAGAGACGGTTTTTGTCTATGCCATTCTCACGTGGTGAATGCGCGGGGCTTGCTCGTGGAGATGAAGGGTCCTGAGTGAATTTGACCAAGGTAGGTAACAGAAGGATGGCAACAAAGGGTATTACTGAATAGCATGATACAAGGGAATAAGGAAGAGGAGGAGGCAGAGAGGTACAGCAGTTTTGGAAGGCAAGATGCCCTGAGCTAAGAGCACAAATATATTACAGGTTAGCCCTTTGTATTAGTTTAGAGATATTTACTACATGACCAAGGGAATAGTGAAAAAAGCCATGATTTGCATGGTAAACTGGACCATTTAAAATCACCAAGAAAAACAGTTGCCAAATATCAGACCAATTTCCTAGAATTCACATGAAAAAATGAATGATACATTATTTGGCTCAGGGACATATTTTAAAAGGCAACTTCTAAGAAATGTGAGGCAGTATGACTGCAACCATGCAGCTATCCATTCCTCATAAATGAGGATTTTTAAATGGTTCTGCATCAGTGCAGTCCGTGAGAGCAAGTGGAGCTTCTCAGACAGTGCATCAAAGAGCCTTGTTTTCCAGGAGAAAAGTATCCTTGCAAGCTGCACCACCCACTCATATTTCCAAAACAGAGTTTATTGATCTACAATAATGGGAATGATGAAGTGTTTAAATAGGCAAACCCCATCCTTGCACTGTCTTAAAAACAAGTAGATTATTTTATTCTCTCACTTTCAGCCAACTCAGCCGAGAAAAATATCAATTCTAGCATAAAACATGCATAGATTCAGTGCTACCAAAGCACCTGCAGGTTGTGGTGAAAGTGTGCTGCCTTCTTTGGCCAATGTAGCACACAGGAAATAAGGACTCTTATGCTATACTATGTTGCTGACTCTTCCAATTGAAGAGAGCCACTAACAGTGGGCTGAAGTAATGTAGCTATTTTACAGGAGATATGCAGCAGTGATGCATAGCTTGCAGAGATGTGGTCTAAAGCTGAACCCTTCCCCCAGTATTTCTATGTATTGTAATACCAGCACAAAATAATTTACCTCATTAGACACATCCACAACTAAGTTGTCATCACTTTTTTCACCGTCACTGTCCTAGATTTAAGGAAAAGATGTTTCTTTCAGTTACTACTTTCCACTGTAAGCTGAAAATTCACTGCATTTTCAAAAACCAAACAAAATTCTGATCTGATACATTGCACATGAGGCAATGGCCATTTCTCTCAAAGTTCCTCACCTACTCTAACCAAAAGCTCTTCCTGCTTCAAAATATAAATCCTATCCTATCCTACCCTATCCCCACCTTTTCCCTGCAAGGAACCCAAGGCAGGTTACATAATCTTCCTTTCCATTTTATCCTGCTAACAACCTTGTGAGAGAAGTTAAGCTAAGCGAATCATTGATCCATAGCCACTTTCTATGCTTTATGGCAAAGAGAGGACTAGGACCAAAGTCTTCTGAGTCCCAGTCCTAACACTAACCACTAGGCCACACTGGCTCTACGCTAAAACTATGGAATGTGAGATGTTTTATAATTCATGTATATATACTATCTAGCTGACTGTAGGAATATTTACATAAATATGCCACTTTGGCAAAGCATTCTCCTGTGTGATTATCTAGGCATTATCTGTGCCATACGGTGCCAAGCCTAGCACCAGGCCATCAAGGCCTAGTAAATTAATGCATGCAGTATATACATCTTCTATTACTCCCTTGCCATTTTCTCAGATTCTTAGGGAATAGATAGAAAGTCAATAACTGCAGTGTAGCTGGAAACCTATCAAAACCTTTGAACATTTACTAAGTTTTCAGGACAGAGGATGCGCATTCTGTAATCTTTTTAAGTGACAGTATTACACACATTATTAAAACCTATATGGCCTTTTCCCCCTGTATTTTTGCACTTGACACATACTGTTGATTATATATAGTGACTATCCACTGTTCCCACTCAGGGCATCATACAAAGTCCTTGGTAGTCTCCCAACCTTGCATCATACACATCCAGTCCTCCTTAACTTTGGCAGCAGAGCATTGTCACAGGCCATTGGGCCTTATCTCAGTCAGTAATGTTATATCCTTTGAGTAATATGATTGTTAATGGACTGATAAGCAAAATAGTCCATTAACAAGAAAAAGTAATTTAAATCCAGTTCAGACACAATGGCAACCTCACTGCAAGCACACTCTGGGAATAATGAGGCTGCTGCCAGCTTGGCAGCTTTCCTGATGAAGACAGTGGGGATGTTTGCACATCATAGCAACCCATCCTGGCAAAAGGCCACAGTGGGTAGGTAGTTGTTTGAACACCATCCAGTATGCTCGACAGAGGAATGGACTCACCATGCGTTACAAGCCATTCCCTTTCCTTCCTCCTCCTAAGCCCTCCCGTAAGTATCCCAGTAGATGCTATGGTGAGATCAGCTTGTCTCCCCACTCTCTGCTGCCATCTGTTTTTGGCTCATCAAAGCATTTTTGCACATGAGAGCATGAAAGTTGAATTGACAACCGGGTTCACAATCCCCATTTTGAAAGCCACTGTCAGTCCTCCCTAAGTGCTTGAGCAGCACTTTGGAGGAGCTGTCAGCAGCAAAAAGAACAAAACAGACAGACAGACAGACTGGAGTAATGTTTGTCTTCTTGGGAAAAGCTAACTGAGAACTCTGGAAAACTTTAAAAAGGGTTTTCACAGGGTGCACTGTCTCAGGGACCAGGTCCAACTCCCTGCCTCCCACTTTTTCAGTTCAAGTTAATGCCATGGCAACAATAAGATTAACTGTTGTGGGCTCCAACAAAGATCACTCACACCTCCACTTCTACTTGACAGCTTGCCTTTTGACAGCTACCGAGAGAAACTAAAGGCAGCATCTTGGTATCTCAGGATGTTGCCCCAATTGATGCTTTCTACAGTCATATAACTCATGAATATGCCTAAATGATAATAATAATACTAATAGAGCAAAACTATTTGAACTATTTCTGTTTCTAATATTTTCTGCCAGCCACTGACAGCTCCTCCAAAGTGCTACTTGGGCACTTCCAAAGGGTTGCCAAAACTAGGATGGCAAAGAAATGGGTAAAGTGCAAAAATGGGCTTTCAACAATGGCTAAAATACAGCAAGCCACTGCCACTATCTCCAAATGCCATTTGAACACTTACAGGTCAGCTAACACTGGCCAAGAACCCAGTCAAGCTTACCAAGGACAATAAAGGGTTTTTACTGCTCCTGCCAAGCAAGCTGCCAAGACGAGCTTCATCTGGGTTCAGATGACATGACAACCCTTCATAGATACAAGAACCAAAGAGCAAGCTACTGGTTGTCAGGGTTGCTTATAGCCTCAAACAAGCCACTGTATGGCAACTGGTCTGATTTGTATGACACTACAAACCATCAAGGATAAAAGCCATCAAGGATAAAAGTCATGCAAACTAACCAGTGAAAATCACAGAGTGGAGTAAGATCTAGTAAACATAAATAATAAGGCTGCATTATTGACACTACCATATATAAAGTACAAGTAAGCCTGTTTTTAGTATTCATTCTCAGACATACATGGCCACATAAACCCTAACTCTGCATTTTCTCCACTCATACAGTATCTGAAAATAAGTTAATCATTGTTGACAGATTTACTTACATAGTGGCTTGAATCCTTATCGTCCACTTTTCTTTTTTTCATGTCATTAGAATAGTCAGGTCCATTCCTGCGTTTATCTGTGCTCCGCAGGCTGTCCGGAACCAAGAGTGAATTACTCTGCAAACACAAATACAAGGTCATCAGCATTTACCTTGAGGATCAGCTTGTACCTCTAAGCCAGCAATGGATACACCATAACCTTCCAGCCCTTGCTATAAAGCATATAATTGTTATTCATTGTTTATTCATAATCTTTCTACCAAGTACTCAGAGCAATACAACCAGGTTGCAACACATAAAGACATTAAAAGCAGGTTGATTCTCACATGGCAGTTGGCTTAGAAAGACATATACTACAGCAGAGTTGTTCAGGTGAACATGACCCAAAACTGGTTACTGTATTCAGCTGATCCTTATTGGAAAAAAAATTATGGTTGGGACAGGACAATCTACTCATGCAAAACATTTCTACCAAGCAGAAAACATTTGTGTTTATGAAAAATAATTAAAAGTATGGTTTAAATTTCTGTTAATTGACCATCTGTATTAGGCTTAGCTGGACTGGTTGTTAAGATGTTACTAGCTTTACAAGTAAAATTCTAGAAAAAGGAAGAGAGAATGAGGCAGGCTCCAGGGCAGCTGAGCTGATGGCGTGATCAGTTCTATATTCTGCTTAGGCATCTGGCTGTGGATCAATAAAAGTTTGCTTTGTTTGCCTCTCTTTGAACTGGAGTATAATATTTACACAACCACTAAGAAGTGTTAAAAATTGGAACATGCATCAGATCATAAGACAATAAAAGTTGAGCATTAATCTAGTTATATATAGAGAGAATTATAAATAGAAGATACACAGATAAGCAGGGCTGGCCCAAGTTGTTTTACTTCCTGAGACAGAGCAGCAAATAGTGTGTGTGCGTGTCCCCTGCACGCAAAGTCAAGGTACATAGTGCTCAAGGCCAGTCAACTTATTTTGTCATCTGGAGAAGAAAATTGCACAAGCACTTCTCCCCTTTCCTAGCAGTAAAAATACAATAATCATAAATTAAATAACCAACAATTTGCTGCCCTTTCATGACACCCACAATCCGCTGCCCGAGTCAGCCACCTCACTCTGCCTAATGACAGGGCTGGTACAGAAAATAAATATAAAGCAAAACAACTGCACAGCTTTAGTGAAACAATAACAGGCAATGGTTCATCTCAGACAATTTTCTGCTAAGACATTTTTAAGGTTCCAACATAAAATGTATAATGTAAAAGGAAGGCCAAAAGACAAGAGGAAGGACTAATCTTGTCCACAATCTACAGGCAACTTTTTTTTTAAGATAATGCTAAGTACAAACTGTTGACCCAAACGGAAGAGAGGCATTTTAGATATTTCTGGGTCACATGATAATTTGACATGCCTCCAATTCTCATCTTCCCTCCAGCTAAAGCATTATACATGTCACAATGGGCTCTTTTAAGTTCAGGATTAGCATATGCAAGAAGGGCAATTTGTTCAATGGTGTGTTAATGCCATGAACAATGCTGAATGAAGGGCTGGGGGGGGGTGCGGGGGCTCCTTTCACAAAGACCTGACAAGTCTCATTTCTAAAAGTCATCTTTACAAGAGGACGTAATACCAACACACTTCTTTGAAATTTATACAAAAATCTATCACTAACAATGCACTACTTCAAAGAACATATTTATGCATATTCAAACTTACTTATACCTGGAAGCAAAATAAAAAAGTAATAATACTATTCAAATGAAGAGTAACTGAGACCAACCAGACTAGAAGCTTTGTTATCCTTACAGGCTAATTCTTAACCACAAGGACAAGCAGGCGCAGGGAGGGGGCGGGAGGGGAGAGAAGAGAAGAGCTTGGAAAGCAATCTGAACTTTCCTCATGACTTCTGGAAGCAAGCAAGCGCTAACCTCTTTTATTTCAGACTATTCAAGCTCAACACACAGGAGGGATCTTATAAAGCACATGGGAGGGCCTAATGGAATCAAGTAAAAAACCAGTTCATAAGCATGCCTTTACCACAGTGTTTTGCAGCTCAAAAGGAAGGTTTGTTGGATCAGTGAACTCATTAGCCTGAGACAGAGGCTGAATTAAAAAAAAGTAAGGGAACTAGGAAGGCAGCAGGGTAGACTTTGGGAGAAAATATTACTTTCACATATTGAAATGGCTTTTAATACTATTGGACATGCAGCGCGCGCGCGCACACACACACACACACACACACACACACACACACAGGAATTACAGGCCAGTGGGCTCTATGTGCACATGAAAGCAAGTGAGACAAAAAGACTTAAGGTTGTCAAAGATCCGTAGATTAAGAATACTTTTTTCTTTTGTAAATGCAGACTCATTCTATTTGTATATTTAAACTCATTCTGAAGAGGTGCTAACAAACCACAACCCATTCTAGAGACTTTGTATTATGTCATTCAATTTTAAAAAATCAAATCCGAATCAGATGACAGGTCTTTAGGAAAGTCTTTTATGAATCAAAGCTGTACCAAGCAGCAAGTCTGTGCACACCTCTGTCGAAAAGCTTTTGACACACATTATCTGGCGTCGAAACATGACTGAGCCAGAAAGTATTATAGCAGCTCAAAGGCTAGCCCGCCTTTCATTTTGTGATGGCACTGTGGCTTCCTAAAAGCCTTAAAATTCACATTACAATGTAAACTTGATGTGAAAATATGGTATCACGACTCTGGAAACAACTTAAAAAGGAGATAATTTAAAACAGGGAAAGTGTATGAGATAAATGTTTATACAGAGAACTATGGTAGCAAGAAGACTAAATAGTACAGAACTTCTTTGGACAAAATCACCCAATTTTAAATTTTGAGCTTAAGTGGTGAGATTTTACTTCCTGCCAGCATTATGAATGCACAACAAATTGTGAGGCTGAACAGAAAATAACTGACTTTAAAGTTAACAAAGCCGAAGAGAATGACGAAGAGAAGTAGTCTTTGTCTACACTGTGGTGATTCAAAGACATTCTGAACATAATCTTGGTTACTAGCTAACGGTCTGAAGGCAGAAGCAAAAGCAAAAATAAATACAATGATCAGTTCTTAAATGCTTTGGAGCACTGTTAATCTGTGAAGGAAAAAATACATTTGTGGAAAGGTTTGTTGATTTTGAGAGTGGTTTGGCTTATCATTCAGTCAGCCAGACAAAGATCTTCTGTGCCACTCAAGAGGATAGCAGCTTGCAACACACTGAAGTGACTAATGACAAAAACAAAAGAAAACTGGGATGCTGAAAAACTGTTTCACTTAGGAACTTTATACATCTTTTGCCAGACTTATTTGCAGGATTTAAGAGCAAAGGCCCCACAGCTATCCTTACATCCCAATTGTGGTGTGACTGTTGAGAAAGCCACAGTCAAGACAGGAATTAGTCCATTTTCAAACATTTGGTTCAAAGTGTGGATAGCAAGGTGAAAGTGGCCAAAATGGGGATGGGGAAGAAGGAATAACAGCTGGGAAGAAGAGTGTAGAAGCCCTCCAACAAGCTGTCAGCTGCTGGTGCTATCTGCAAAAAAAAAAAAAAAAGGGTATCTCCTACCCTGTGATGGTCATCTTCTCCACACAGTGAACAGCATTAGCATTTGGAGGGTGGGAAGGAGAAATGGTGGTTCTCACCATTTCAGAAAGCAGGTGTAGTTTACAAACTGCAGAAACACAGTATATATAATTTAGTAACTATTTTGTTGCTATTAGCACACTGCCAGAGCAAGGGGACAGGTATGAACTCCAGTAACTGATGAATATGCTGCTGACCAAAATCACTGATTTTCCCCTACAGTATATTCTACTTCAAAGAGTTCCAATAATTTATTTCACAGTGGAGATTAATGTGATTGCATAGTTGTCAAATAATTGTTATCACCTTGCTAAGAGAAACATATAAAAATAGTTTGTTTTGCTTGATTTCAGTAGACTAGACACTTTAATTAAGGATAATCCCCACTTTCATGGTCAGAACCCAATTTATCAAGGATTAAGTACATGAAGCCTACATTATTTGTCCAGATTGGCCTAAGCGATTAAATCGATTTTATGAGTAATTCTCTCCTCCTTCCTCTTGCTCTTGTTATTCAGAGATTTCCTTCAGCTATAATTCAAGATGGGCTGCTCAGTGTAGCTTCTGCTACAGTAATTCTTCCATACGGAAGAGGAACTGCGACTGGTTTCAATGGGTCTAGTACATTAAGATGTTCCTGCTATAAGGAAGCAGTATCGTTTAGCTCCATTTACATCATTCCGTCCTCCAGGAAGGATGGGCTTCAGCCATTTAAACAGGTGGGTTAAAGAGAGAATCTGTGTGATAGAGTTGCCCAAAGCCTTCCAATTAATTTCATAGCTGAGTGTACTGGAACATGGGATTTCTACACTCAAACCTGATACCCTAGCCGTGGTACTGTATTGCCATCCAAGCCAGTCTAGTGCATCTCCTCTTCTAGTAAGAAATACAAAAAGGAAGGAAACCTAAAAGGAACATCTGCTCAAGAGAAAGCATTTCCACTACACTGTACTATGATCAATGGATGTATGCAGCTGCCTTCTCTCCTCCATACTTCTTTTGGGAACTCTGTTAGCCTAAGGGCCCAACAAAAGGCTTTAAAAGTATGGAAAAGAATTGGACCTTGAGTGCATGCAATTTCTACAGAATTGTAGTCGTACTAAAAATTAAACTAAAAAGGAAACTACATGAAAATGAATGAATCAAAAGACATCAAATACATTTTATATTGTATTGTTGTATTTTTAATTTAATATTTATATTTTTAATTTATATTATAATTATTTTAACTTAGTGATGTAAAATGTTTTAATAAATAAATAAATAAATAATATATCTCAATCACTAAATTTCACCTTTGATATCAAATCCTAAGTTTCTCTTTTTCAAAAGAAAGATCAGATTTCCAGATGAATTTTTTTTATAAGAGTTGAAGCCATACTGTTCTTGCTAGCATGTTATTATTTATAAACAGAGAGCTAACAAATGAGTAAACATCCTCTTGTTGCTTACATAGAACTTATATAGGGATGGAATAGGGAACAGTGATGCAACAGTGATGATGCAAATATACCTA